CCCAGGTTTACGGAGACTGCATTGTGACCAGAAAGACGCATTCTTGCATAATGGAGCTGCAATCCCTCACACGCGCAACACACAGGAGCTAGGACTTTAATATAAAGTAGACACAAATGCTCACCAGCTGACATGGCCATGGTGGTGCCAGCTACCATCCCCATGGTGGACACCATTGTGGCTGAAGGGAGGCCATGCATGGGGGGGCGTTACATGGCCTGCAGGCATCCCATTTGGCTGGCCACTGTTGTGTGATGGATAACATGAGGCGGAGCAGCATACAGAGGCTGTGTGATAATACGTGCCCCTGTTGTTGTGAGGTATTAAATGCCCCCTGCATCGCAGAGATAACAGAAAGCACATTGGGTATATCACCTCGTATCAGCAATTATAGGCAAAACACGAACTGCAATCCTTCACGAGAATATAGTATAACCTCGCACAAAATAGGGCTGCGTACGCAGTGGGAAGTATGCTAGAGCTCCACACGCCTGCTCCCCGTGAGTGCATGAGGGTAAGCACAAGATTGAGATTCATGGAAATCTGCATAATACTAAACTGACTTATCGTTCAATATTTGTAATAGACATATAAACAAACAGTTCTACAGGAGCTCGGAGGCCACATGATCAGAACTATCCGTATCCTCGTATTTCTAATCACGACACTACATAGTTACTACAGAGACACAGATACTCGGCAACTTTAAACAACATCTTCTACCAAGAATGTCCTAACCTCTCGTCGCCTAGACGGCCCTACGCGTGCCAGTATCAGGCGCTTTGCTTCTATGATTAAGCTCTATCGGCTCTAAAGCAGCTCGGGGCAGACCGAGGTATATGTCCTTGCGCGCAGCAGCGGTATAGCGTGGCCTTGGGTGAGGTACAGCGCGCAACCAGTACCCTACCCTGCGGTTGGCACGTGACATACGTGTTCGCGAGAGGTCCAGGAGCAAATGTCTATCTTGAATAGGACACCCGTCGCACATGGACGCGTACTAGGTGGACAAGGAAGGAGAGGACATTCTGTAATATAAGAAAGCGTGGATATATTCTGTGTCACATATATAGTTCGATACAATGAGAGTGTGAAATCTTGCATGCACAGCACTGACTTGTAAAGTCTACACAAATTAGATAGTAAATAATGAATAACTGCCTTACCACTGGGGAAGGCTGGGTTTCCTCCTGCGTACACATTGGGAGTATACGCTGGAGCAGCTGTTGCATAGCCGACAGGGAATCCAGCTACCATGACCAGAACGAGAACCAAAAAAAAAAACATCTTATTTTTCTTGATTTCAGGATTTTGTCTTGTCATTCGGACATTTGCTTAAAACCATTACGGCTCACCACACACTCACCGGGGTATCCTATACCCTTAGTGTTGGTAAAGGGGACCCCTGTTGACCCAGGGCTGTACACTGGATTCATTATCGTCGTCGACTCACAGATGCTGCAGTGAAAGAAGCACAGACCGGGTGAATTTCACAGAATTTTGAAATGAATGCAAAAGGTCATGTGGCAAAGTTTCACCAAGCAGACTGTTCCCAAAGCATCCGGGTGCTGCTGGTGGAGAACACTGCTTAATGACTGGCTTTAAAGGAAAATAAAAAAGGTGCCCTAATATCTTTAAAACTTAACTGAAGCCCTCATTCATTGAAGCAGCTCTCTCTAGTGGACCAGTATGTATTACATCATTTATCGCCAAAACACAGCCGACAGCAGCAGGGAGCAAACACTGCACCATGGCAGCACTTACACTCTTTATGTTTCACATTAGAATGGTTAAAGGCAAAAACAATTACTGGGAGTGTGATATCATTATCTAGTGGACAGCAGAGAGGATATGAGATGACCTTGCTAGGTCATAGTCACAACAGATATTCACTTTTGTTTCTTTATCTTCCAAGTGCCGCACTCAAGTACTCAAAACTGGAATTCATACTTTTTGTGGGAGCTGGTCTCAGTTTTGACAAAATATGCATAATTTAACATGGTGCAGTACCATTCGTATCACTGTGGGCTTTCTCTCTAAACTAAGTATGACCACTTCCATCCCGTAAACATGTCGTTTTTGTGCTCTTCAACTTAACTTTCACTAGAATATATATAAATATATAATTCTGTACTGTTTAATGTGTAGAACTGCTTCAATCTGCCCCTTATAAAACACACATGCATTCGGAAACATTTCATACAACACAATCACATGCATTCATTCATTCAGATTGCAGATGTGCATTATATAAATGCCATTACCAGAGGAAGCCTCGACCTCTGGCCCAAATGACGCTCATCGGTGGATTAAACATTGGAGTATAGGTATGTCTCCGTGCTGCCCTCTAGCGGCGGCACAAACAACATTACATCACTTTACAAGTCTGCTTATTCAAGGGAAATTTAAACAGAGAATGAAACGCACTATAATACTTCCTTTTGTGTTTATATATTTAGAAAGCAATGAAACCTGTTCTTTTGTTTTTTCTAGAGACTAAATATTATCCCAGAGAGAGAACTACGAAGCCAAAGCTATTTAATAAAATGTTATAAACCTCTGGACGGGGATACAACCTTACATCTTTAACATCTCATTTTGAACTAATGAACTAACTCATTAAACAGTGAGAAGCAATAAATAATTCAGGGACTTTAAAGATGTTAATACTGATGCCTCTCAGCCTCTTTCCCTATCAAACCACAGTGGACGACAATAAGTAGATTTTAGAAAATAAATAAAAACATAATAACAAAGTGCTGCTTGGTGTAGCCTACTGCTTGTACGCTTGTGTCCGGTAGATACGGATAACTACGAGGTGTTCACGCATTTTCTTTAAAGTGACGTTATATGCTGCCCGCAACAAAAAAAAAAAAAATGGCAACCTTTTAAGTGGAAGAATTTTCTGAAAGGTGAACGTGAACGCAGCGGGGCTTTGTTGTCGTCGACTAGCTTAGCTCACACGGCTCATGAGCTACACAGCCTGCTGAGCGTGGCTGTCGTCGCAGGTTGGTCGCGACGCACAGACTGACCTCCTCATCACCTGTCTGACCGCGGGAAAAACCGCTGGACTGTGCCCGGACAGCAGCCAGATGGGGACAGCTTGTCAACAGGCCGCATAGCTGAGGAGGCAGACAGACAGCGGTGCTCTGCAGTGACGCCTGTCCCAACGCTGCACACAACACACACACACACCGTCGTACCGAGACAATGACCGACAAGAACTTACGGTTGACCGTTTTCACCGTGTGTTTAGTCCCCCTCCGTCGGTCTTCTGCTGGGAAATGATGTTTTTTGAAGCTAGCTGCTGTTTTGTTCCTAGATGCTTCGCTGAACTCTTTTGAGCACTCTAGCGTCACTTCCGTGCAGCGTCACGTGGTCTGCAAATCTATAATATGACGCTTTATGATGTAACCGAGTTTCTACTTGTTATGTTTTTTCTTTTGTTTTAATAGGACAATTATATTTTATTTGTGTATTTCTCAATACAAGCACACTTCTCAAACGACTACAATCAGACTAAAAGGACGTGACGGGTGAGATTTTTTTAATTTATTTTTTTTAAATAAAAAAAATATTAGTACAACATGGCATTTTTATTTAGTATAGTTCTCCATACTGTTTATTTAATTTTTATTTTGTTGCTATACAGTTGCTACATTTTGACATCGCAACAATATAACGTCCGGTATCCCATCACTGCAACATTGTAGCAATGCTCTCTGAGCTCGTTATTATCTGTGCTCTGCGGTCCTGAAAGGATACAAAATTTATTTGATTTTGTAAAGTGTTTCGCTTTGTCTGACAACGTATCAACACAGGGTTTACACAATTCCGCGTAACCCACAATGTAACCAACACGGCTACACGTTATTTTTAATGTTTCTTTGACAATAACACATTAAAATGGATTTGCTCTTCAAGGACCTTGACGCATCGCTTCCATTCAGCCATTGAACTGGGAAGAGTAGGGTACATACTGTTGTGATTTTAGTGCGAGCTATATGTGATTTTATAGGTAAAATGTTGGTATTTAACGTATATTAGGAGTCGTTCTACGGTGTAAGGTGAAACTCTTCGCTCGGCTGCTGTCGTCGGTAAAGAGCAGGAGTAGAATGTCTGCAGCGGCCGGTGGAGGAGGAGGATCCTCCTGTCTGGGCGCAGCAGCGGCAGCCAGTTGCAGCTCCGCCGGCTCTCCCTACGCTCCTGCAGCCGGAGGAGGTGCAGGGGTGGCCGGGAGGTTGCCAGCTCGAGTTTTGGAGCATATTTTCTCCTATCTGGAGCTCTCCGACTTGATGTGTTGTGCGTTGGTCTGCTGGCACTGGAGCAATATTCTGGCGGATGAGAACAGCGAGGTGTGGCGCAGCCTCTGCAGCCGGACTCTGAGCGACGAGGCTCTGCGGTCTGACATCCTGTGCAACCTGCCCACCTACAAGGGGAAAGTAGGTTTACCAACACACCGCTGTTGTATCTGGTTGGGAGTAACTGACTCCATTCAACAATCTGCCTGTCTTAGTGCCACTTTGGCTCTACACCATCACGGAAGGTGACTGCTCATGTGGTAAAGCGCACACTGTCTATAGGATGAATCTATAAGCGACACTGTTGTATGCCAGAAGACCCCAGTGATTCATCCCCAGTCTTTGATCAACAAATACAAAGTATTGTACAAAATAAATGCTCATGTTTGATGAAAACCCGACTTAAATTGGCAGATTCTTGAATGGGGTTTGGTGTAAGGTTGTTTTGAGTCAGGAAAGGGCTGGGGATGCCTTTGACACACTAAACTAGCTCTTGTTTGGTTTTCATTGGCCCACATTAGACCACTGACACCCGTTTTCTTACAGGGCCCAACAGTGAGGTTGCTGTTATTGCACAATTGTGCACCATGTGCTAGGAAATAATAGGTACACTGAAAGTGAAACTTCAGTTTAGAGTAGCTTCTGAATGGGACTGTCTGCAGAAACATTTATGTTGTGACATTTATTATAACTTTCCATGGGAGAATATGGAACTTCCTCAAGGAATCTAGGAGCTCCACAGGCCTCATTTTAAGAGCTTGAAAATGCCAAATACCAAATTTAACTTGAACATATGAAATATTGGAAGATATTGATTAATTTATCTCAAATGATATAGCAGCCATAATCATTTATTTAACAAACTAATTGTGAAAGACCCCACTGAAGCTTTCTTTGAGCTCCAAAGACTTTATTGGTGCAACACATTCTTGTCCTGCATGGTGGAAAAGCCAAAGTCCGAGACCTTGTCTCAACTTGTTTATGTAAGCATCTATACATAAAAGGGTGTTCCTTTTAACTGCAGCACCCAACACTTATAACAGGGCGTTATAAAATATGCTATTTTGATATTCATACACCATTATTTGAAGAATTTTGGTGAAGATCACTAAAGGCTATGAAGTCTGATTACAAATGTGTTGTCCCTGTCCTATTGTCCTCCACAGCTCATGGCCTTTCAACACGGTCTGAGCTCCCACGACTGCTCCCGCAATGTTTACGTGAAAAAGAATGGCTTCACCCTCCACCGCAACCCTATCGCCCAGAGCACCGACGGTGCACGTGGCAAGATTGGCTTTTCAGAAGGGAGGCACGCCTGGGAGATCTGGTGGGAAGGCCCTCTCGGCACAGTGGCAGTGATAGGCATCGCCACGAAGCGGGCGTCCATGCAGTGCCAAGGCTATGTGGCCCTGCTGGGCAGTGATGACCAGAGCTGGGGCTGGAACCTGGTCGACAACAACCTGCTTCATAATGGGGAGGTCAATGGAAACTTCCCACAATGTAACAATGCGCCAAAATATCAGGTAGGAGCTAGATCTCTGTGTTAGCTGTACCCACATCTGATTCGAAATCTCCAGAAATATTCTATGAACGTATTTATTATTTGATACCACTGTAATGCAGCAAGGTGTGATTGTGTTCGTCCACAGATCGGGGAGAGAATACGAGTGATTCTAGACATGGATGATAAGACGTTATCCTTCGAGAGGGGTTTTGAGTTTCTTGGGGTAGCGTTTCGTGGACTGCCCAAAACCTGCCTGTTCCCTGCTGTCTCTGCAGTATACGGCAACACTGAAGTCACCATGGTGTACCTGGGGAAACCTCTGGACGGCTAGAAGCAGAGTAACCACTATTAAAACTCACAGGCCACTGCTGGACGTTTTCTGTCAACAGACGACAGACGACCCTGTTTGTTGCACCGTTTCCAAAGGTTTTGGAGGCCAAGCGTTTTCTCCCAAGCAAAATGACTCTGTTCATATACACAAAGAGAACTGTTGGCATTTCTCTCACAGCTCGACATGAGGAGTCAGACGAACTACAGGGAAAAGGAGTGTGTGGGAACTGTCATAAACATATTTCTGTATCAACGTGGAAGTGTCCACTTTTACAGTTTAGCTGCTGGACTGTTTTATTTACAGGATAGGGGAACATTATTTAATTCCATGCAATTCAGGCTAACAGTGCTGAATATTTACTTGAGGTTTTATGCGTGTTTGAATGAGGCCAAAACTATTCTAAACGGTGGCAAATACTTTAAGACATAATTTTAACATGTGATAAACAGTAGTTCTAAATAGCTATCTGTTGTATGAATTAATGGAAACCGCTCATTGTGGATTAACACAGTTTAACTATTAACAATGACTGGATTACAATGGTTATATGCCAAATCAATGTGACCTGATATTATATTTTGCTATAGGCAAACAGAGGACATGCGGACCAGCTGTCATGCACGTGCATGGATACTGGCGTATGGACTATAACATCTGCCATTTAAAAATACCTATCCAGTAATGGTGGAAACTATACCTGTGTCATGTTAATGTGTGTCCTTTTTAATGTGCTACCGTAGTATTACACACTATTTATTTCTTGGTTTTTATCTATGGTACTATAGATACTGTATGGTTATAAGGCCTGAAAATAAAGTCTACATGGTGCCACTCTTAGAATTAAGATGGTTTCATGCTTGCGTTTATGTGTTCACAGCTTTTATAGATGGCTTTTACAGAGGCTGTCTGCTCATGAACAGCTGTCCAATTACACTACATGTTTCCAGCCCGTGTTACACGAACCAGCCACATGTTTTGAGGATATGAACACGAGGCTGCAGAATTACTTGTACGTCTAAATAAAGCTCTGGATCAGACAGATTGGGATACATACCAAGTCAAGATGCTGCATATTGCTGGTGTCCATTGAAAGTTCCAAAATTTGTGTTTTTTGAATTTATCACATAAACTGAAGCATTAACTGTTCCTGCGATATGATACGCACTTACTGTATAACTACAGTAACTATTGAAGATTATGGGTCTGTGTATGAGAACACAGCCATATTACCCAATATACAAGATTAAACATGCCTTATGCAGACCGTTATTGCTAATGGGGTATGAATGAATTGCACAATAACATCAGCAGTTGCTAATATACACCACCTAGACTGACTATGTATGACAAGCATATCAGAAAAAGGGTTTTTCTTCAGCTCTAAAGCGTTTAACTGCACTTTGTGTGGATCAGCGCTGTAGTGAAAAAGAATTTGTGCTCAGCAGTCATCTTTTGCCAGAATCAATAGGAGATAGAAATGTAAATATATTTTAGTCATGGCTTGAAGGGGGACTCAATAAAGCCATTGTAGGCAGGAGAGAGCAGGAAGTTGGTTACATATTAATCAATACCTACCACCTAATAGTAAGTGTTTGAATCTTTTAAGTTCCATTTTGGGCTCCATTCATACCAGATAGTGTCAGCGTATTCTAAGGCATGTTTATTTACATCGTAAGATACAGGTTTGTGCACAAATTAGTTTTTACTGTAAAGGCACCATTTCAGCCACAGTAAAAGTGACATATAGTCTAATGGACCACTATTTTTTCCTGACTGGAAGGTCTCAACTACTACTGTACGTATTGCCATGGACATTTTTAAAGACATTGACAATTCCCAAACAATCCTCATAACCTTGGTGTTTCCCTGACTTTGACATTTTTAGTTTTCAGTGTATTCTGACAGCTGACAGATTTCACATTTACAGACATTCACATGCCCATAGCACCATTATCAGGTCAGAATTTTAGCTTTCCCAATACTTTATGCCGCTTTAAGAGCAAATACTGGCTAAAAATAATAACATTCCCATCAGCCTCAGCTGTAGTATATATGTTTAGTGCTAATTAGCAAATGTTAGCATGCTAACACACTAAACTAATGGACATGGTGAACATTATAGCTGCTAAACCTCAGCATTGCAATGCAAACGCATTAGCCGAGCAGTCCAACCTCACCAACACTGAGTGAAGGACAGCAAGGCGAGACTACAAAGTATGACCTGAAATAATAACATGACAGTCCCCTAA